ACAGGGAGGGGGGAAGGAGGAGGGTGCGGGAGGGGAGTAAGTCTTAAGAAGACCCTCATGGGAATTTCTCATGAGTGGACTTGGGAAAGAAGGTGAACAGAGCAGCCCACACTTTTCCCTAACACCCCTCTTCCCTTTCAGCCAAAGAGAGGTGCCACCTCTACTGTGAGTCCAAGGAAACCGGGGAGGTAGTGTCCATGAAGCGCATGGTGCATGATGGGACACGATGCTCCTACAAGGATGCCTTCAGCCTCTGCGTGCGAGGGGACTGCAGGGTGAGTGCCCTGGTGCCAGCGTGGGAGCTCAGGGTCTCTGCTTCAGGGAGTTTTGAGAGGACTCATGCAGAGTGTTAGACACAGCACTTGGAGCAGGGCAGACCCCCAGCAAATGTTGGCCTGCCCCTCCTCTGTGCTGGAGGCTCTCAGCATTTAGTATGCCTCGGAGCAACATGGGGAACTTGAGGCTCCTCCTGAGAGATTCTAATTCCTAGGTTGAGGCTGGGACCCAAAAGCAGCATTTTTATGAGCCTCCAAGTGATTTCAACACACACAGTCCTTGGTGACCCTGCCACATCCTGGCACTCTGATGGGCACTGGACAGCTTACTCTTGACCAGGGTGGCCCACCAGGGTTCTCATTGTTTGGTTCTTTGTGGAAATGCCTGCTGTGTTTTCTGTTGTCATTATTATGTCTTTGGCTTCAATCTTAGGCTGACACAGGAAACCACTGCGGGGTAACCTCAGCATACAGTAATAATTGAACTCAGACTTGCCTCCTGCCAGATTCCCTGAAACAACTGGAAGACTCTGTAGTTTGTGTAGACAGGACTGAGTGTATGTGCCATGCAAACTGACTCTCCTAAGGAGTCTCTCAGAAAAACTGCCAGAATGCAGTCACCCCTAGCGGAGGGAATGAGGCTGGAAGCACAAGGTGGGGGTGTCGGTCAGCCCCTCCACTCAGGTAGGATCATGGCCTGAGGTGAAGGAGGCTCCTCTAGGACACAGGGGAGCTGCGTCCTCTAGGATAGGAGGAGGCTGGCTGAGTCTGAACCTTGCAGGGAGGCCAGGCCACACGGTCTGCTCGGACAGTGGAACCAAATCCTCAGAGATGAAGGCAGCAGTGTTTCCTCTGTACCCACAGGGCTTTGATTTATGGAGGTGACAGTGAGGACACAGAGAGGCCAATGACATTGAAAGAAGAATTTATTACTTACATTTTCCAAGAGAAGGGCGTGCCATGCCTTACAGGGCCACATGGGGAAGCACCAGGTATTTGGGGGGCAGAAAGGGGCAGAAGACTAGGCCAGAGCTTTCATTGGGGTTCCTGGTGGAAAGGGGAGCAGGACAGGGGAAACAGGTTAGAACTGGCCAGTTTGAGTAACTCTAGCAGGCTTCAGCTCTAGGGCTGGTCTCTAGTTGCCTGCTGCCTGGCCCTGGGACAATTTGGGGCAGGGAAAATATTGTTCTGATATGTGACAGATAAGGCAGATTTGCATCTTAAAGGTGTGCTCCCAAGCCCTTACCATCTCTAAGAATGGTTAGTCCTAGGACATCATAAGACACATAAAATTAAAAATATATATACGTGACTGATACAGGCAGTAAGCATGGGAAAGATTTAGTAGAAGAAGCTTTGAATGGCAGCTTCTAAATGCCTGCAAAAATAACAGAGAAGTCAGAGCATTAATTTACCATCTTAGTGGGAGCAGCCAGCTTCACTCCTAACATTGACAATTTAAGAAGAGGTTAAGTATTTCATTAATTAATGGTGGTTTTAAATGGTAACAGCAAGCTGATAATTTTTACATAATTAGAACAAGCATATACTTACATTTATATAAGCTCATGTTGCAAAATTTAGAAAGCAGAGGAGGTAGAAAGGAAAGATTGAAAACACAAAAGACATGGGGTAGTAGTAAGATGAACTATATAACTCCTAACACTACAGGTGAATGTGAGATTCTTATTTTAAAAGAATCTAATTCTAGGTCAAAAAATATTATCCAATGGATGTTGTCAATTAGAGAATATCAAAACACAATGACTTGGGAAGGTTAAAAGTGAAATGACATTAAAAGAGGGTTCCAGAGAATGAAAGATATGTGCACCTGTAACATACATACACCGCAAGGAATCAAAAGAGAACGAATAAAATGAATCTCATAGGGGCATTTTGTTTTGATAAAGGGCACCATCCACTACCTTGATAAAGTAATAACATGCTATCAAATATATCACTTAAAAACTGCTATGAAAAAGGAGAAACTGAAATAAGCTGGCATATATCTGATATGATAGCTCACTAATAGGATTTCCTAACAGATGGGAAGGGAGGAAAGCAGCTCCTTTTAGCTCTGTGCCCCTTGCCATGTGACAGACGCCCACTCTCACTACCAGCCGCTCCCACCTTGGCTGGAACTGAAATGGAATCAAGCTGTGAGCCTCCCCTGGTCACAGCAGCCATGCAGAGCAAATCGGGTACACATGGCCATCCCCAATCTGAGCTATCATTGGCCCCATTAACCCTTTAGAATCTAAAGTGAGATTTCAGACCAGTAGAAGGACCCTGTGCTTCACTGGCCTCTTGTACTTGGTTAAAGTCACCTAGTTCAATTTAGACCACTGTGTCTCCTGAAGGTCTGTAGACACTTACCAAAGACAAATAGCTGTTCTCTGAGCCAGGTGTTTGCCTGCACCTGGATGGTCACACCACCTGAGATGAGCTGGCCAGCAGCTGCCCAGGCAAGAATCTGCTGAGTCAAACACTCTTCTAGGTAGCAGGGAGGGTCCTTTCGACTGTGATTATTAGACATCCTGATTTCAGAAACAATAAAAGGTGAAATGAAATGTGTCTTAGAACGGAGGAGAAATTATGACAGGATATTTTAATATCTCTCAAAGTTTGACAGATCAAGTCGTTCATTCACTCTGGGGTTTTTTGTTAATCATCTGTGATTCACAGAACAAAAGCTCAGAGCAACTGTTCTCAAACATCATGCTGCTTCATTTTCTCTTGTCCAGATACCCTTCTTCTCATCCAACCAGGTGGGACTTCCACATACCGTCTTTGTACACGGGCTGCAAGCCTTTTTAGAGGGAACACAGGAGTCCATGGAGAACTCCTAAGAGCTGCTCTCACCGAAGGCATGCAATCTCTGTTGGTGGCTCCTGTCAGTCAGGCTTCAGAGTCTGAGATGGTGCCCTCCTGATGCCATGTCCTTCACTGGTCTCTGTGCACATCTGCATTGGCATCCACCTGCCTCTACAGCTCTGAGTCTTTTCACTTCTAGTTATTCTGTAGGAAACCTAAGCATTGATCCCCCTCAAATGAGAGGCTGGAGCAACCCTTCCAGGGAATACACTGCTAACGTTCTGCACCCAATTCCAGTGTGGGGGCTTTTCCCTATACCAGCAAGCAATTCTCTGACACCAGCTGGGTGTCCTACAATTCAACTTAGTTCTGACACTATCTACCTGAAGATAATGTCAGATCCCACAGGTTAAGGGCTCAGTCTTACAATACCACCCCCGCCCCTTCAGACTGCCATCAAAAGTTCAGTTGTCACCTGTGCTTCTGACCAACTGGCTATAGATTGGAGATTCCCACAACCCCCTCTTTGGGTTTGATTAATTTGGTAGAGTGCCTCACAGAACTCAGAATTATTTCACTTACTTGATCACCAGTTTATGATAAAAGGATATAACTCAGGAACAGCCAAATGGAAGAGAAACATAGGACCAGGTATGGGGAAGAGGCAAGGAGCTTCCATGCCCTCTCCAGGTGCACCACTCTCCAAAACTTCACCTGTTCACCAACCCAGAAACTCTCCAAGCCTCACCCTTTGGGGTTGTTGTGGAGGTTGCATTTACATAGGTATTGTTAACCTAAAGATAAAATACCTTCCAAAGTGAGAGGCAACAAGCGTTTATTTGAGATCAAAGCATAACTATTCGGGAATAACTGATTCAGACAGAAACCCAAATAGTGTTCTGACAAAGGCAACGGGTATTTATGAGAAGGGGAAAGGGAAGAATTACATCCATATAAGGAAGGCATTTCTTTGATGCCGGTAACATAACATAATGATGTTAATTCTAAACAACTTTTTAATTTTCAGTCCAGTGGTCATAATAACTGCTTTCTTATTATCTTTGCAAACAGTTCTGCGGGGCACAGTGTTGCTTTAGGCCCAGTCCCAAGGTGATTCTGCCCTGTTCTAGCATTCCAAGGTTTGAGGCATAAGGTGTGCAAGGCAGTTCCTGTGGGGTAGCAGCTCCAGCTGCATTTTAAAGTGGTTCCTTATTTTTGTTACATTTTTCCTGTTTTGATGAATATTATTCCTTGAAAACATCACTGATCAATTACCAGAAAGCAGCACTGATAAGTTATTAAAAGCAATGGTCCTCCATTGTCAGGAAGGTTCATTATCAGTATATCATGCCATTGCCAGTCCCTTGTCACCAGGAAAGCTCATTCCCAGTATGTCATGTCCTACGTAGAAGGGAAAGTGGTTTCTTTTTCCTAAAGGAACACTGGGCCACATTTGAGCAGCAAGAGCACTGGAACAGGGGAAGGCTGTACCATGATGTTTCTCTAAAGGCAACATCTGGAGGTTTCTCATCTAAGACTTCATCTCAAAATGTTGAGCAACCATTATTGGGGTGGTATCATTTTAACACTGAGCTATGCAAAACAAAGTTTTATAACAGCAAAATTTCCTATAATAACAAACAAAATGCCAAGTCCAATTTGAAGAATAAATCTGAACCAGGATTTATACCCTCAATAAAGCTGTGAGTAGTCAGGTATTAAAGAACCAAGATATTCAAGAACCATGAGCTGTCAGTGGACACTATATTGAATCATTTGGTTTATGCCCTGATTCTATCTAGTTTTGTCTCTATTTTACCACAGGTGTCTTATCAAAGTACAACAGGAGGTATTAACAACAGAGCAAACCATCTTGCTTAACTAGGATATGGTCAAAAGGAATTTTATTTTCTAATATAACTCATGCAAAGGAATTTAAAGATTTGTCTGATTGGCTATTGCCATGGTGGTTATTGCAATAGTTGCCCAAGGAAAAAGGGGTTTTCCAAATCTGGTAACTTCCCTAAGGTTGACATCACAGGCGTGAATATCCTTGACTATGTGTGTGACTAGTTGCATGTTTTGACCTGAGAAGTGGGTTTAAAGATGATGCCCATCTCTTTTCAGGCCGGCAGCGTGGGGGCACAATGAAGGGGGAGGGTGTTGCCACTCCTGGGTGGTGACGG